GACTTCGGCTTCTGTACAGACCGCGAACTTAGTGAATGCAATGGCGGTCGAGTTCTTCGATTGTCTCCAAGAGCGGCTTGCCTTGGTGAAGAAGAACGAGGAGCTCAGCCTCCAGAAGGAAGAGGCGGAGAAGAACTTCGGTGAGCTGACCTCAGAGTTGGAGAAGGTCAGGGAGGAGTTGGCCAGTTCGAAGAGGGAGGTCGAGGTGGAACGGGAGAAGAGGAAGAGGTGGGAGGAGGAACTTGAGAGGAAGGAGAGGGAGCTGGCCGAGGTGAAGGAGTCAGCCAAGTTGGAAGTCCACAACTCCGTGGAGGGGCATGTGTCCAACTTCATCAAGTCTACCACGTTCGCCGAGGTGGTGGACCTCTATCGCTTGCCAACGCTGGTGATGGCCTTCGCGGATTGCCGCAAGAAAGTGAAGGCGCAGAATCCAGAGGTGGACGTGACGAGCATCACGTTTGGGCCTGAGGAGGCAGGGGTAGAGGAAAATGGGGATAGTAAGACGGCAGAGTTCCGTCCCGAGGTGAAATTGACTTGGGAACGGGACGAGGCTGGAAAGTCTGTCCTCCCACCGACGTTAGACTTCGAGTTTGTTGCTGTGGACGAGGAGGAGGCCGAGGTGGTACCGAGAACGGAGGTGGCGGACAATATCCGAAATGAAGAAGTGGACCAACAGCTCCAGATCATTGACTGAGCTCGGCCAGCTCACCTTTTGTAATTTTGATAGTGTTTAGTATATGTAAAGAACAATTTCTATTTGGATTGGAATGAATGAATGGAAGTTTGGGATATTTATGGTATTTATTGCGGCATTATTTATTGAAAATTTGTAATGAACTTAAAAAATAACTGTCTGACCTCGGATAGGAAGAGATTAGAATGTAACTTTAAAGACAAGGTGTAAGTCGAGATAAGAATTCGATCTCAGTTGAGAAGAATTTGGGTAAAATGAAGCTTTATTACGGATAAAACTTTTTTAAATTATTTACATTCCAAACCCTAGGTATTCTTTTACCTTCGGTGTCTACAAGTATGTAAGCGCCGGGGTGTGGGATTTCAGCCACTACATATGGGCCTTCCCAATTGGGCGCAAGTTTGCCGAAGCGAGTTTCGAAGCCGGTGAGTCCTGCCTTTCTGAGGACGAGGTCACCAACTCTAAAGGTCCGAGGTCGAACTCGTCTATTGTATGAGTTGGCCAACTTCTGTTTGTATGCTAATGTCCGAAGTCGAGCTTCCTCGCGGACTTCGTCCAAGAAATCGAGGTTTTCTCTCAGCAACTGCTCATTTCGAGCTGCGTCGAAGTGGGTCACTCGTAGGCTTGGGACGCCCATTTCAACAGGGATGACTGCCTCAGTCCCGAAAGCCAAGTGGTAGGGCGTTTCGCCTAATGAGTTGTGACTTTAGGGTTTATTTTATATAGCGAGAAATGGCGGTAAAATGAAAAGCTAGCTATGTGGCGTACCTGTGGCTGTCCGGCTCGTAGTTCGGTAGGCCCATAGAACATTGTTGAGCTCGTCCGCCCACTTGGTTTTGACTTGGTCTAGCCTTGGCTTAATTCCTTCTAGGATGGCCTTATTGACAGACTCAACCATTCCGTTTGCCTCAGGATGGTAAACAGAAGTGAACACCAACTTAATCCCATAGCTGGTACAAAAGTCTTTGAACGAGGTGCAGTTGAACTGAGGTCCGTTGTCGGCGACAACTTGGTTGGGGATCCCATATCTGCATATGACCGAACTGAAAACAAAGTCTTCGATCTTTCTGGAGGTCAGGCTGGACAGAGGTCGGGCTTCTACCCATTTAGTGAAATAGTCGACTGCCACGACTAAGTGTGTTACACCCCCTGTTCCCTTCACGAAAGGACCTAGGAGGTCGATGCCCCATTGTGCAAAGGGCCACGGCGTTACTAAGGCGGTGAGTTCCTCTGCTGGCTGGTGGGTGAGATGTGCAAAGAATTGGCACTTCGGGCATTTCTGGACGTGCTGCTTGGCATCTTCTTGCATGTTTGGCCAGTAGTATCCCTGCCGAAGTACCTTGTGGGCCAGGGCTCGAGCTCCGACATGACTCCCACATACGCCCTCATGCACCTCACGAAGTGCGTATTCGGCCTCATAAGGAGTTAAACAACGAAGAAGGGGGAGCGAGTATGACCTCTTATATAGGGTACCATCCACCAGGGTGTACCGAGATGCCTTTCGTCGCAACTTCATCTCCTCTTGTTTGTTAGTTGGGACAGTCCCATCCTGGAGATAAGCTTTAATGGGATCGGTCCAGCTGGGGGCATCGAGGTCTGTACTGACCTCCATCACCTGCGACCTCTGGAAGCTTGGTTCATCTAGGACTTCGACAAAAACTGACCTCAATCCACTTGAGCAGTCAGAAGCTAACTTTGATAGCGAATCAGCATGACCATTTTCGGATCTTGAGATTTTAGTGAGTTGAAATCTTTCAAATTGGCTTTGGAGCTTCAGAGCCACAGCTAAGTATTTGGCGAGGGTGGGATCTGTGACCTCGCATGTAGAGTTGACTTGGTTGACTATGAGTTGTGAGTCACTGTAAACTTGCAGAGATCTGACCTTCAACTCAGCTGCTAAGCGAAGTCCGAGGAGAAGTGCCTCGTATCCGGCCATATTATTTGTTGCTTCGAAGTTGAATTTCAGGGCATGCTCACTTCGGAAGCTTCCTGGCCCTATCAACACCGCTCCGGCCCCTGACCCTCTGGTGCTCGACGACCCATCCACATAGAGGGTCCATTGCTCAGGTTCAGAAGTGATGGTTTCGGAGTTCGAGGTGCATTCGACGACAAAATCGGCCAAGGCTTGAGCCCGAATTGACGACCTCTGCTGAAATGCTATCTGGAATTCACCCAACTCCACTGCCCATTTAATAAGTCTGCCCGAACATTCCGGCTTCTGCAAGATCTGTCTTAAGGGTTGGTCGGTTAAGACCACAATGGGGTGAGCCTGGAAGTAGGGCCTCAGTTTTCGTGCCGTGGTGACTAGCGCTAGAGCTGCCTTTTCTGCAATTGAGTATCGCAGTTCGGCTCCTTGGAGGACCTTGCTGGCATAGTATACCGGCTTCTGCTGTTTACCTATCTCTTTGACTAAGACGGAGCTTACTGCCGCATCAGCGACTCCTAGATAGAGGTAAAGGAGTTCGCCTTCTTCGGCCTTGGTTAACAGTGGTGTTGAGCCGAGGTACGACTTGAGGTCATTGAAGGCGGCTTGGCACTCTGAGGTCCATTCAAACTTCTTGGACTTCCCTGCTTCGTCTTTATGGGCGACTGATCTCAAAATTTTGAAGAACGGCAAGCATTTTTCTGCAGATTTCGAGACAAACCTGTGCAGAGCTGCGATTCTCCCTGCTAGACGCTGCACGTCCTTAATTGACTTCGGGGGCTTCATCTCTTCTATCGCCTTGATTTTCTCAGGGTTGACTTCGATTCCTCTCCGAGAGACCATGAACCCGAGAAATTTGCCTGATTCGACACCAAAGACACACTTGGCTGGGTTCAATTTCATGCGGTGTGTTCTGAGGTTGTTAAATGTTTCTGCCAGGTCAGTTAAGTGGTCCTCTGCTTTGAGGCTTTTGACTACTACGTCATCAACGTAGACTTCGAGATTTCTGCCGATCTGAGCTCGGAACACGATCGTCACCATCTTCTGGTATGTGGCCCCAGCGTTCTTGAGTCCGAACGGCATCATTATATAGCAGTAGATCTCGTCACCTGCGTAAAAGGAGGTCTTCACCTCGTCTTCGGGGGCCATGTGGACCTGATGATATCCTGAATAAGCGTCTAAAAGGCTAAGTCGTTCATTTCCGGACGCGGATTCCACCAGCCTATCTATACTCGGCAGGGGATGGCAGTCCTTGGGGCAAGCGTCATTTAGATTCGTGTAGTCAACGCACATTCTCCATTGCCCGTTTGACTTCTTGACTAGAACGGGATTGGCAACCCATTCGCAGTAGTCTACCCTTCTTACAAACCCGGCTTGCAGGAGTTTCTGTACTTCTGATTTGATGGTTTCCAACCGCTCTCCGCCGAACAGGCGTCTTTTCTGGGCTACGGGCTTCTTCAAGGGGTGAGTGCTTAACTTGTGGACCACAACCGAAGTGGGTATGCCTGGCATATCAGCTGAGGTCCAGGCGAACACGTCTCTGTTCGATTTCAGGAAGTCAATCAGCTCTGCTCGGTCTTTGGAGTTCAGCTTGGTGCCGATCTTTGTCTTTTTAGTGGGATCATTGTCGTCAAGCTGCACCTCCTCCACCTCTTCTGCCGGAGTGGCTCTGGCTTCGCCTTCAGGTCTGCTATCCAACAGTTCGACACCCATTACGTGCTGCGTGGCTGGGAGTTCAGGCTGAGTGGGCTCTAGGTTGGCTAATTGCTCGTTTCTCCGAGGTCGGGAGACCGAGGTCATGTAACAGTGCCGAGCTATTTCCTGGTTCCCGCGCAACGTCGCCACGCCGGTGGGGGTGGGGAATTTCATGCATAGGTGAGATTGTGAGACAACCGCTCTAATTTCAGTCAGGGTTGGCCTCCCTATGACAATGTTGAAGGATGAGGCCATCTTTACTACCAAAAACCGGACTGAGGGGGTTACATAGGTTCGACCTGAGCCAAATGCTACATTAAGTTTGAGGATTCCTTCCACAGGCACTGGTTGATTGTTGAAGCCGTAGATGGGGCCGTCATACTTCTGTAGAAGGGCAGGATCGAGGCCAAGGCTTTCGAAGCAGTGGTAGTACATGATGTCCGGAGCACTTCCTGTGTCTACAAGGACGCGCTGAACTTCACAATTATTGACCGTGATCGAAGTGACCAACGGATCGTTGTGTGGTGTGACAACACCGTCGAAATCAGTAGAACTGAAAGTGATAGGTTGGTTTTTCCAGTCTGTCTCATCAAATTTTCTTTTTTGAGCCCGGTTGTGGTGCTTCACCTCTCGCACATAGAGCTTCTGCTGCTTTGAGCTCGTTCCCCCAGCTTCCGGTCCTCCTGTTATCATGTGAATGATGCGTGAGGGTGGGGGGAGTGGGGGTGGTGGTTGTTGATATCCAACTCCAGTTCGGTTGTTTACATCTCGAGATGGTTGAGGTCGTCCCTGCTCTCGGACGAACTTGAGCTGGTCCCGGTTAGAGACGTACTCATTTAACAACCCTTTCCGAGCTAAACCTTCGAGCTCCGACTTCAAACTGTTGCATTCCTCAGTGGTATGGCCATGATCCTGGTGGAAGTCACAATACTTGCTTTGATCTCTTGAGGCGGGTGAGCTTCGCATAGGAAGAGGCCTTCTGAGCTCCATCTTGTTTTTGATCTGCATTAAGATGTGGGACCTCGGCAAGTTAAACGGAGTCCAAGCAACTTGCTTTGCCATAGGCTGCGGGTTAGGTATCGGAGGTCGATCCGGCTTAGGTGGGAAAGGGCCCCGGTATTGTGTGGGTTTAAATCTTTTCTTGTTCTGTCCTTCATCTCTCCAGATCGGAGGTCTAACCTCTTTATTTGGAGCTGGTTTGCCAGATAAAGCATATTCCTCTGCTTGGATAAATTTCCAGGATCGTTCGTTGGCTTCATCAAACGTGGAAGGGGCGTGCTTTATGAGGCTGTCTCGAAACCTCTCATGTCTGAGGCCCTGGGTTAATGCAGCTAGCCCGACAGCGGGGCTAAATGAGCCGATTTCCAGCACCGTATCATTGAATCTGTTCATATAGTTCTTCAAGGATTCACCTTCTCTCTGGGCTACCCGCATGAGCTCAGATGTTGTTTTCTTGATCAGCCGGCGACTGGAAAACTTCGTGGCAAAGGACACTGCTAGCTCGGCGTAAGAACTAACCGAGTTCGGCGGCAAGCTGTAGTACCAAGTCCGCGCGTTTCCGCGCAGGGTAGAAGGGAATATCTTGCACATCAAGGCGTCTGAAGCGTTTTGGGCTTGCATGACAGAGTAGAAGGCGTGCAAGTGGTCGTCAGGGTCCTTGGTACCGTCATATGTCTCGAACTGAGGCATTCTAAACCCAAGTGGGTAAGGTTCATGAATAATGTTGGTGTTGAGAGGGGTAGAGATGGGGGCAGAGCTTTGCTGAGGCGGGATGTTGGGACTTCGGTTGTCGAGCACCGCTTGTTTCAGGTGCGGTTGACTGGGTAGGTCTAAGGCAGCCGGTTGAGATGGTTGTCGAGGTTGAGGTGCGATATGGGAATGAGCTTGAGACTCATTGGGGGGTGGGGCGGCAGTCCGAACTGGTGAACTGACGTTTTGCTGAGGCTGGTGGTTTTGTGCTTGGTTGGTGGGATTTAACAATGTAATGAGGGGGTCACCCGGGTTATCTCTAGCTAACAGTTGGGCGAGCACGAGTTGAAACACACCGAACTGCTGTTGCATGGCATTAAGTTGGGTGGCTATGGGGTTGCTCGGGATTCCTACTGAGTTTGGATTATTATCTCCGGTCTCCTCCATATGCTGGTGCTGGGTTGGAGGGGGTGGCATGGGGTGAGATGTGGGGTTTCCACTAAGGGATTGATCTCCTGCTTGCCCTTGTCGAGGACTTCCGTGGTGCGTCGAGCGCGCGTTAGTCATCATAACAGCCACTAGCTAAGGCTTTTAGCTCGGGTTCCCACAGACGGCGCCAATGTAGTTGCAAAGAACTGGGAGGTACTCCAGAGCTTAAGTCTTCACTTCCGTTATCCTGCAAAGACCCGAGGTGTGTTCTCGGGGTAGACACTCCGATGCTTAAGTCAGAAATAATCAGAGCTACCAGTTATGGAGTGAGAGTAAAAGCTGAACTCAAGGTTTTTTTCCAATACCTCTGTGAGGGGGACCCTGGGGGTATTTATAGGCCTCCAAGGGGATGTCTACGTGTTGGATCTTCCAGGAAATCAGGGGGACAGGTGTCAAACATCGCAGGTGCTTCCCATGAGAGACTGGTGCGTACGGAATTGCTGTGGAGCAAGAGCAGAGGGGACGAGCTCGAGTGCGATCGAGCTCGCCACCCTTCAATTAGATCGAGGCGGCTATGTAGGGGCTGTTCCGACTGTCTGAAGTTGCGCACCACGGAAGACTACGAGGTGCGTGACTTTGGACTGCGGCTCTGGCCTCATCTCGCGACCTCCATTGTCATACCTCTGTCTCACGACCTCTGTCGTCACACCTCTGTTATCTCATGACCTCTGTCGTCATACCTCTGTTATCTCATGACCTCTGTCTACCACCACTACAGAAATATCAAAAAATCCCAATCTTACGCCCGCTGGCAGTCCATTCATTATTTGTCCATTTCATTGAAAATTAGCT